TTGCCGAAACTACTAAGCCTTGCTTCTTATTCCTTCCCTATTCAGTCCACTTTCTACAAAGCCAAGTGATGGTTAAAAATAAAACGGCACCATAAAACTTTTGCTAGTACATTTAGAACATATTTAAATTACTATTTTTTATTTACATTTATCCTGTGTGCAAGTGTAAGCACATGTATGTAGAGGTCAAAGGGCAACTTGTCTCTGTTTTTCCTCCCATCAAGTAAGTTCTAGGGGTGGAACTCAGGTTGTCAGGCTCGGCAGTAGATGCCTTTATAAACGGAGCTGTCACATGGGCTGGATTCTTTCTTCCTGTGTATGGAAAGAAGTAGTTTTGCCTCCTCATGCCTGTGTGCCGTGTGGGTGCCTGGTTCCCGAGGAGGCCCCAGAGTTCCATGAGCACTGGGAAGCAAACCTGAAGGCCCTCTCAGAGCAGCCAGTGCTCTTCATTGCTAAGATTCTTTCCAGCCCTATCTGAATTCTTCAGTGAATTTTCACAAGACTTTCTATTGATTTTCTCACTGCTCCTAGGTCATTAAGTGACTTATTCGATTTTCCATGTTTCCTTGTACCCAGAAATCCTCTCAAGATCGTTCATTCTGGGGTCTAGAGTCCTCAGATTCAGGTTTCCACCTTAAACTTTAATTCTTGAGAGATGGTGCAGTCTTTGTGCTTGATTCATGTAAAACATGACCTGCTCACTCATCTCACTAGCTGGCCTGAGTTTTGTACTACTCATTACTAGGACTGTAGTATCTCCTTTGCCTGTGTGTTTATTCTGTTTCCTCCCACAACTGAAAGTAAGCAGCGTGAAAGGTGGGAACTTTGTTCTTTGTTATATTTGAGCTCTTGGACTATAACCACATTCAGGGTAGTACTCAATAAATACATGATGAATGAGTAACTCCTAACATAATGTCTTCAGGAGACAGTTCAGTAGATTCTTGGCACCTGCAGATTCCACACTAGTAATTTCTATGCAAATGACTCACTGCGGTCATGACATCAGCTTTCAGGTTTCAAAACTGCTCTTAGCTCATATTCAGAGCACACTCACACAAAGTAACTTCTGGCTCCATCGCTTCTCATCTAAATGACCTTGAAAGTTCCTTAACATCTCATGGAGTTGTCAAGATTCACACACACAGTAAATACTGATTTACTAGCTTTTTCTCTGTATTTTTAATGTGCCCATGACAGTTGAAGGAACCAACAATCTCAATGAAGAAAAATGAGACATTGTAATGAAGTACGTTTCCACTGGAAAACAGACATTTCATGGAGGAAAATTTATGATACAACTTTGATCTATAATTTGCAAAGTTGTAAAAATTGTTGAGGTATATTCCACACAAAAGGGAAGATTACACTTATTATTAGCTAAAACCAATTAACAACCATAAAGTTTCCTATTCCCTACACTGTTTTATACTAAAACTATTTTTGGCTTATACTATTAGTTTATCTACTTATCTTCCTCAATATAAATTCAGCAAATACTTACTGAGTGCTTCTCATAAATGAGGTGCTAATAACATGAAGACAATTAAGACACAAGAAAGAACAGGAGCAGCACCCACCACAGAAGTGTGCCTGCTGTACAGTATATAGACAGCATAAAGGAAAATGCTCGCTCTCTCTCTCTCTCTCTCTCTCTCTCTCTCTCTCTCTCTCTCTC